GTGAGCAGCGTGTCGCTAAGAAAAATGTGAGGGAGGCCCCTTGACGTGACATGGGCTGTCTCTCCTTCCTTGTTTACGGTTCTAAAAATGGCGGATGCTCGGTGTGGTTTGAGCTCTTTAGCATAGCACTGTTCACAAAAAGCTTTTAATAAAGAAAAAAAAATCAGTAAACAAGTTCTCAACTTCTTTTAACAGAGTAAAACAACTTTTTACACAAAGGCACGAGTTTCAACCGTGAATTTTGGAGCTTTGACAAGACGGAGGTTTTTTTTTCCCCTGAGGTCGGCCTGTTAGTTTAGCTCGCAGCTTAGCTTCTCAGCTTAGCTGCTTTTAGCGAATAGAGAAAAAAAGAAGAGAAAAAATGATAAAGCCGATAGATGAAAATGAGGTTGAGATTTTTCATTTATCATGCGACTAATTGATTTATTGTTTATTGCGACAGGCCTACTAAGGAGATTTTTTTTTATATTTGTTTATTTACTGAAAAACTGAACGTTCCTCTAGTTTGAATCTTTTAGTGAAGCACAGAGTCTATATGGAGCCAAGATCTTAAAATTGAAATACGACTATGACTTGATTTCTTTTAGTAGTCTATTAACCTGCCAGTTTATAAATAACTGCCACCCTCCTATATTATCTGTGTTTTTAAACACTGTATGGTGTTGTCTTAAATAATCACTTACCCGAGCAGATCTCTCCATTGTGTAGGCCAACCCAGAGTGAACAATGTCTTTCTCAGAGGCACCCTGCAAAGACAGATTACATGTTAATTAACCTACCTCACAGAGGCAACTGAAAAACACTGATTTATACAAAATGACAGCTGTGGTCAGCATTTCTTAAGACTATAAATCAATAAAATAAACACTATCCGCACAGTCACCGAGTGTTTTTCGTTTGTCTCATCCTTTCTGCAGAGGTCGCCACAGTGAGCGAACACGAATAAAAAAATTTGCAATTGCTTTACTCCAATTGCTCTTCCTTACACAACCTGGGCTTGAGCCTGCAGCCTCAGGAGTGTGAGACTGCAGCACTGACCACTAATCTACCGCACCCCCTGGAGTAGATTATATTAAATCATTCAATCTGGTTCAAAACGCAGTTACGGCCCCGTGGTTGTACGGAAACATGAACAAACCTTTGGTTCCGTTAGGATTTTGTGAGAATTGATTTTGTATCAAATGCTTTTACCATTCAGGATGTTTAAAAATGTATTTCTGATAAAGCTTAAAGTATTTTCAGTATCAAAGTTTAAGATGTAGCACAACTTTAATGACGGAGCATAAAGCCACATTAGGCAAATATTAAAATACAAAAATACAGTTTTAAATGTACACAAAAGTGGACATTTAAAACTGTTAGCTTTCTTTCTCTTATTATTTATTTATATTTTTATCTTGTGCCATGAGAAGAATTGTTTGTTTTAATTATCACAGTATTTTAGTCTTTGTGTATTTTATCTCCAGTAGTCTGAGATTAATACACTCATTTCAAATAAAGAAAGGCTGTTTCCTGGAAGCATCGTTTCCTGGTGCAGATTGAGTACATAAAAAAAGGATGTTTTAATTTTAATTAAACATTTATTGGTTTATGACGATAAACGTTACTCACAGCAATTCTGGCCTGGAAGTCAGCAGTGGGTACGATGGGGATGGGTCCGCCCTGCTTTCCAAACTTCCTCTCCAAACTCTCCTGCACAGACACTGGACACGGAGAGAATTGAAAGAAGAAGAGGTTAAATTTAGAAATCATTCGGTAAACATGCAGATGTTTTCTCCAGATGGTGGCTCCAAGGATGTGTGACTAAATCCTAACGCATTGTAGGACAAAAAGCATGTTTGTTAGTAGTGTTAAAATAATTTTTTAACAATCTCTTATTTATAAATTCTATCTAAACAACAACACAGATTAATCCTTTACATTGAAGAATCAAAAAAATGTATTAATTTTGAATTTAATAACCATCAATGAGGGACAAGAGGTAAAAAGAAATGCACACAAAGTGCAGCCACATACAGAGAAAGGCATGTGGTTGCCCAACACACAGGAACGTTACAACTTTAATTTATTTCTATAATTTTCTACACTTTCACAAATGATACGTGGCAAGTTATAGTTTCACAAGTAACATTTTATACACAATGAACAGGTTTTACTGCAGCATGACTGAAATATTTCTAAGATGTGTTCAATATTTTTTCAGTCTTTATAAAAAATACCTTTTAAGAGTTTTTCTTTGTACATTAGCTGCTTCTTTATTAATTCTTTGTGTTAGTTTAGGGGGGGAGGAGTTTCAAATGGACAAAAACTGAACTGAAAATTGTTGAAAAAGCAGCTAAATTTAAAAATAAAACAGTGAAACTCCAAATTAGTAGCTTCTTTCAATTACAGCAAGGGACAAAAAAAAAAAAAGCATCTAAACATTTAATGCATTTTGAAAAGAATTAAAGCTTATGTCACTTTGTATCATTTTTAATTTGCCTTTGCTGCTTTGATTTGTGTTTAAGTTTGATTTATGACCCTAAATGTTTGAAGGTTATGTAAGGACTGCAGGTCATTGTACTCACTGAGAAGGTGGTAGTTTGAATCCCTCTCGTATTTGAAGGTCAGTCTTCCATAGCTGACATGATTGAGATTCTTCAGCCACTCAAAGTAAGAAACGGTCACACCACCAGCATTCAGGTACATGTCCTGCAGGAAGAAACACCGAGTTGTCCTACTTTTCAAGAAAACTTTTGGTTTTTTTTTGTGCGTGTTCTGGAATTCAGTTTATTCACAAGGGGGTACCACAAGGTTCTATACTAGGCCCTTTGTTATTTATCTTATAGCTTAATGATTTTGGAAAGGATATTTCAAATGCAGCAATTCATTTTTATGCAGATGACACAGTCATATAAAATATTGTTTTGCACCTACGCCCACAGAAGTGTTTGCATACATGCAGAATGCATTTAACAGAATACTAGAACAACTTTGTCAGCTTCAACTTGTTTTGAATGTTGACAAAACAAAGCTAATGTTTTTCAGCAATTCAACAACAGTAAGGTAAAAGCAATCAGTCATCACCACTAGTGACGACCAACACACTGAACTTGTATCTACGTTCAAATATCCGGGATTTTAATTGATGACAAATTGTCTTTTAAAGCACATATTCAGATTACTGTAAATAAACTGAAGCTTTTACTTGGATTTTATTTTTGGAATAAATCCTGCTTTTCTTTTAGGGTAAAAGAGAAATTGCTGGAGTCAACTCAGAAATTGTTGGAGTCAACTTTTCTTTCGATTATTGGCTATAGTGATCTATTATACATGAACGCCTCTGCTCAATGTCTTCACATGCTGGATAGCGTGTATCATGGCGCTTTGTGGTTCATTACAAATTATGGAGGCCTAACTTACCACTGTCTCTTGTATGCTAAGGTAAAATGGCAATCTCTGCATGTACGCCAGTTTGGCCACTGGCATGTTTTGATTTACAAGGCTGTTCTTAAGTTGACAGCACCTTATCTTTCATCGTTGTTAACTTTAAAACAACAGGACCTACAGCCTCCGGTCTCGAGACATTTTAAATTTTAGTGTTCCTCGTGTCAAAAACAAAAAGGGAGAAGAAAATCTTCAGCTTTTCTGCTCCAACCTCACGCAACAGTTTGCAATCAAAGCTTAAACTTAGAACACTAGTATCTCAATGTATTTAATACCATGATAGATCCCATTATGTTCAAGTTGCAGAAGTACAATTGTTTTAATCGACTCATTTGTTTTATTATAAGTCTATGTTTATTGTGACTACGTGTTTTAACTGAGTGTTGTTTTTGTTTTATTCCCCTCTCTTTGTATGCTGCCAGTCTTGACCAGGTCTCTCTGGTAAAAAAAAAGATCCTTTGATCTCAATGGGATAAACCTGGTTAAATACAGGTTATTATTATTATTATTGTTATTATTATTGTTATTATTATTATTATTATTATTATTATCATCATCATCATCATCATCATCATCATCATCATCATCATCATCATCATTAATAAAATGTACTCTGTAATCAAAAACCGTCTTTATTATCTGATTATTTAAAAATATGTCACAAAAGATATGTTTGTGACATTATGTTTATTATTATTTTATACACAATAAAACATCTCAAAACAAATAACCTAAAGAAATAAACAGTTTTTCACCTTCAAAGTTTTGACAAGCAGTTTGCGTTTTGTGGTGGTCTTTAGTAACATTAGATGTTCAAGCATACATAAGTCACTCTTAAAGTAAAATCAATTAAAAATAACTTTCTAAATTAACATTTACTTAAGAGTTTTAAAGAGTTAAAAAGTTACCCTGCTTCAACAGGACTGTGTGATTTATAGCACAGGGAACACACAGGGAATGTCAGACACTGGTTTAAATATCAACTGGTGCTCAAAGTCCTTGGAACTGTATTTTAATCTATAATATTGATCAAAACTAACCAAAAGCTTTGACTGTAAAGTTTATCTTTGTATAAAATGAAGCTGAATGAGTGAAACTGAATGAGTGAAGCTGAATGAGTGAAACTGAATGTAAAATCCATAAAATTCAACTACACACACAAAAAGTGCATTTCTGTGAGAGTCTGCTTACAGGAATCACCATGACGTTGTTCTCCAGGAAGATCTTGTCAGCACCTGGGGTGGTGGGTCCATTGGCGCCCTCAGCAATAATCTGACAAAAACATGCAAACACTTGACGACTGCTCCCACACGTTATGCGATCCTTAAATCATTTAAATCCAGATGACAACTTAAAAAGATTTCAGCTTCACATGTTTACCTTAGCTTTGATTCTGGGGGCATTATTGCGCGTGAGCTGCTTTTCTCCGGCAGCAGGAATCAGGATGTGGCAGTCAGCCTCCAGAATGCTCCCTTCATAAGGTTTGGCTCCTGGGAAGCCCACAATGGTGCCATGTTGCTGCAAAAAAGAAATCCAAATATAACAAAGATGTTCTGGGGGGAAAAGGGCTTTAAAAAATAAAAATCAATATACACTGATGATAAGATTTTATGTATGAAAATAAACAGGAGTTATTTCCTTTGATTAAAGAATTAAAACAGTTAAATTTAACTTAATGAAACAGAAATGGCAGAAGTGTAGCCATTTGGATCAAACTTTAAAAAAAAAAAAAAGTACCACACCAAAGTTTAACTAAAAATCTATAGAATTTAATATATTAAAAATAAATGTTTGTGTGCATCGATTAGATGTAGTGGCCATCTTGAAATGGATTGATTCTAAAAGTTTATCAGTTGTAGATGAACGTGAGCAAAAAAACATGAATGTCCGCCGTCGTCTTTCGACGGTCGGAAACAATAAAAAGAAAAATACGGAAGTGAAAAAATGGGCAGCTGTTTATGGTACCAGTTTATAGTCCTCCAGCTGTTTGGGGTCGATCCCGTCTGGGTTGTAGATGGCTCCATCGATCTCACCAACACCGACACACTTGGCGCCAAACCTGTGCAGGTATCTCATGGAGTGAAGACCCACATTACCAAAGCCCTGTGAGAAAACAAAGAATGGTAAATTCACTACAGTCCAGCAAATTGTATGTTCTAGGAAACCCTGGGAAAAGTTTTAAAGCCCACTTTACTCCAGAACAAAAGGAACTTCAGTCAACTAGAGCACATACTTTGGTGCCACCATGTGGCTAGAGTAGGCTACAACATAATAATCTACTGTAAAGTGAAAGGAGTCCATTTCATCAGTACCACAAAGTATTTGTAATCTGCTGTTTCCACATTAAGATCCAAATGACAAGAGTGGGCATTTCCCTTTAGATTAAAGAAAGAAAATAAAGTGTGATATGCCCTTAATACCATATAAATCTCAAAGGAAATCTAATCTCAGAGCAAAGTAATCCTCTGACACATACACAGAGATTAGGCTGTTGAAAATCCACGTCGTGATTCAGCGGTCGGCCCTACTTCACTTCAGTAATGTCTTTGTGTCGTTCTCTCTCATACAAATACACAATCAACAAAAAACATCCTTTGTAAAAGAGAAAAGTATTTGATTAACGTTGGTGGAAAATCCTAAAAAAAAAGCTGCAGCTCTGCAACACACGTCGGTGAGTGAAATGCATTCAGACATTGCAGAGCCCGTCCAGAATATCAAATTGCATTGTCTTGAAAAGCGATAATTATAGAAAGCATTCTGGGAAAACAGCAGAGGCCACTGCTGAGGGTCGTCCTACCCATGTGCTGAGGTTTAAGTGTTTGTGACTTGTGAGAAACTCTCATATGATGAATGAAAGTGAAAATATTTGTGCCATCAGAAACAGTTCTCCTTTCACAGACTCGTGCCATTTGAGAAAGACTTCATGTTCCTTTCAAGTTTTACTCCAACATACTCATAACGTTTTAGAGTTACAATATTTCACTGATCGCATTTTAACACCAGCACTTTACCAAAAAATGTTCTGTTAAACCGTCTCAAAAAGCTGCAGGGACCCAGCCTGTTCTTTCCGTGTGCTCATTCTTCTCTTACTGACTCATCATTTTCCACAAACAAAGAGGGGAAACTTCAGCTCACTGCTGTCTGCTTGGACTAAAGCGATCAGAGCCGGGCTGAAACAGATGGTGTGGTCTGATTGATGTGCAGCTCTAAAACCTTCATCGTGGCTTTAAATAAAAACCGCTGTGTGGATCAGGCAGAATAGAACAGCAGAACTTTTAGCATGGCTGTAAGTAAAACGCTTGTATTAAAAAAAAATGCATGTGTCGAGGTACCTGGATGACGAAGGTCTTGTCCTGGAAGCCAGGTGTGAAGCCCAGCATGCTCATATAAGACGCTTCGTTGATGAAGTTCTCGATGCCGTGGAAAACTCCACGACCGGTGGCAGAGATACGCCCGTGGATTCCTCCCTGGCTGATGGGTTTTCCTGTCACGCACGCATGCGCGTTGATGTCCTACGCACACATGCAATGAAGACGTGATGACATTTGTCAGAGACTGTACAAACATGTATAAGGCACACGTTTAGTCCCTATAGAACTGCAAACGAAGCCTCGGTTAGCTGCTCGTTTGTTTTGTGATGCTTTTTGTCATCTTCTGTTATTTTTTGTTTCCCAAAGCTTTATAGTAATGTGCTTATGAAATGTCTTGTTGAATAAATGGACATAATGTGCTGCTTTAATTAGTATTCAGGGTGGTTTATCAAAACTTTTTTTGTAGATAGACGCACTGTATTGCTTTTTTCTACATACTTATCATTTTTGTGATTATCTGTTTTTATAACGTACTTATTCTGTGTATTTTTATGTAAAAATAAAAAAAATATTTTCAATACGAGTAGATTTTTAAACAGGCGTTTCATGGGAGACAGTCAGGGGTGTCTGACCCAGAGGGCACAAGACTGAAAAAGTTAAACTGAGGCTCAAACAGAGAACATAAACCAGTCTTAGTTTTGTATTCATTAACAACTGCATATGTTCTGAACATAAACCATTATAAGAACTGCAACATGAAAGCAGCCAATCAGAAACCTGTTTCAGCAGACAGCCTGACTCAGCTACATCCTGCTGGCGCAATCATTTTAAAAAGGTAATATAAAATATTAACAAGCACAACAAGCTAGAGCACAGTTAAAGATTGCCTTTTCCATGAAGGCTCTTATTTTTTAAAAGGATGTCGCAAATACACTTAAATATTATTCTCTCAAAATGTTGTAAGAGTTTAAACTGTTTTAGATTCTGTCATCCAGGACATGATAAATCCCCTCCTAGAAAGGATTAAAATAAAAATAGAATGAAAGTCCAGTTGTTTTGACTTTTAACCTTTGGGTGCAAGTTTTGAACATTGCTGACAGATCAAGAAAACTTGTATTTTATCCACATCAACTCCAACAAGCTGGTTTCAACCATTTTTGATCAAACACCGATGAACTTTTACCTAAAAAGGCCTCGGTCTTAGAAGCTGTTTAAAAAGAAATGAATTAAAAAAAAAAAAAAGAGGAGGAGGTAAGTTTCCATGGACGTTTAGGAAGGGAGAGGCAGGAAATTTCCCTTCGTGGTTTTGATGTGACTCACTCCTCGTTTCTAATTTGGCCTATTTTTACAATCTGTACCAAAATCTCAGCCAACTCAGAAAGACGGATCATGAATGTCTGGGAACTCACAGTGTGTGCAATGGTGTTGGCATAAGTGTCTGCGATCCAGGACATTTCCCTTTCTCCGGTGCTCATGTCAGGCGCTGGGACATCGATGCCAGGCCCTGGTGAACAAAGACGGCAGGAAGAGGGGAGGAACAAGTGATAGAGCTTTAGTCAAATGTGCACATCACTATGCAGGAAGGTTCTCCACAAGATGCTTAAGAGAAAATGCAAAACCAACCAGGACTTTTCGCTTGACAACTAGTCAAACAGTTTATTTTAGTTTATTTAAAATAGTGACTGAAATGGCAGTTTGTGTCTTCGTCTCATATTGATACGACTTTAAAAGCCATTGATCCACAAACAGAAGCATAAAGGAGTTGAAACAAAATACAATTCATGATAAACTGAATGGGCAGTATGAGGAAAAATGTCCTTCTAATTTATAAACTGGACAGTTAAACATCACCAAGTTACACAATTATTGCTGACAACAAAATAAACAGTGTCCTAATCCTTTAGTTCAATGACAGTTCAGTATTGTTTGTTGTATTTCAAAAAAATTATAACATTTTACAAAACTTAAAAGCATGTCTTTGTTTTAAAGTTTACTATCAAACAGTTAAAGGTAATTTGATAATAAAACTTTTGATTTGCATGTTGCCATTTCTGATAGTTTATTTCTTGCAGACAATATGGTTCACAGGCAGCTTATTTTCAGATTATAAGGAGCACTTAAAATCCTTTAATTTGCTCAAAAATCAACAGTGAGCCTTATAATCTGGTGCGCCTTATAGTCCAAAAAATACGGTAATTATTTTGTAAATTCAAACCTAAAACCAGTTGTTTTCAAACTATCTGTTCAAAGATTTAAATTTAAGGTCTTAATAAGGTCAAAGGTCTGGAACAACTAGTGATAAACAAATATTTTTAAATAAATTTACTTACAGCAAAAAAAAATACTGCACTGTTTGCTTAGAGCTGTTCACTTGTAAATCTAAACTGCTCGAAAGAAAAGCTTAATGTAGACTGCACGGTCATTAAAAATGATACTATGAGGAATTTTGATTTTAAATTACGTTAATGTCATGTCTCAACAAAACAGAATGCAATTTGCTTTTAAACGAGAATAAACATGTTAAATAAACTGAACTTACAGGGAACCTAACACTAACATCAAAGAGATTTATGCCCCAAGACAGTAAACAAATAGTGGGAAAAATGTAAAAGTCTGCCTTCAATGAGCTGCATAAACCTCGGCACAAATGATATTGTAAGACAGTAACTATTCATTTGTCAAGTGACCGCAATTTGAGGTTTTAACTACATTTATTGTTGGGAATGCACTCAAAAACATATGCGGTGGACAAATTAAATCCATATTTCCCCACTCACTCCTTTTTGAAAACTCGATTTACCAAGTTCCTTTTCTATGCATATTTAGATAAACTGTCTTAAGTTTACACAAAAACTCCCAAATAAGCAAAAACCTACTTCGATTGAACACAATGCGTTTAGTTCTCTGAAGGATTACATTCATCTCTCACCACTACAGACATTTTAACACGGTAAACGTTTTGTGCAAACGGAGTTTGAGCTCAGATAAACTTACCAATGAAACCCTTCTTAGCCAGCTCAATAGTGAATCTCCTGGTAATCTTCTCCAGCTCATTATCCTGCAACAAAATGTAAAAAAACATTACATCCTGACAACAAAACATGTTGCACTATTTCTAGCAAACTGAAACATTTACTCCAACTGAGGCTGCATCAGATGTCGAGACGCTGTCGATGTTTGACAAAACAGAAACTTGTTATTTTCCTACTCAACTCTGAGCTTCACCTAATACCAAACTAAACAGAAGATGCATTTAAACATGAACTGAAGATTACTAATAAATTCATTTGCATTAGACTTGTTTATTTAAATAAATGTTAACGTTAGGAAAAGAGAAGACCTCATGCGTTTTCTTTAAATGCCTAATAGATCTCTGAATCGCTCTTTTCCAGCCTTTGTTCAACAGTTTTTGCTTTCATTGTCCACCTAATCAAACAAATACAACATCAGATACTCAGTGTTTTTGTTTTCGGGTGATACTGAGTCAATCTGTGTGTTTGGATTAGATAAACGCCAAGGAAGGCAGGAAAACTGATCCATCGGCTTCCAGCCCTGTGGATTGTTTATTTTAGATTCTGCTGCTCCAGTAAATATGACATGTTTGAAACATGTCTGTGTATTTCTACAGGTCAGTCAGAGAGAGGAGACTGAGCGCAAGAAGTCTTACAGAGTAATTCTTCGTGTTGATCTTGACTCCAGCTTTGGCTCCTCCAAATGGCACATCTGGAAGAACATAGTAAACACAAGTGTATGCTTGTTTCGTGATGCATTAACAGGAAATGAAGCAGAAGAAGAAGAAAAAACGCTTCACTACTGCAAAGCATTAGCATATGCTCAACGATCCAACATTTTACAGGAGCAGTAAGAAAGCTAGCGATGCGAGGAGATCTGGTGAGAATCAGCCGAAAGCTTTGTGCAAAGCAAAGACAAATACTTACCAACAACGGCACACTTGTAGGTCATTAGAGAAGCCAGGGCTTTCACCTCATCCACAGACACTTCTGTACTGTAACGGATACCTGAAGCAAACACATCAACACGGAATCATTTACTGAGCAGTCGCCATGAAAGAAAAGCTAAAAACAAGCTATATGTGCATATCACCCGCCACATTTAACACCAAACTTTTAGACTAAGTTCATCTTACGATGAGAAGGGACAAGGTTGTAGCTGCACAATACTGTGCAATGTCACAAGATACCAAGCTCAAAGTTGTGAATGACACTCATTTACTAGCACACCAATTATTTTCACAATTTACATTAAAATGACCGAATTAAACCCGTGTTTTGCATTTTCTAAATGGATATGGATGTATAGCCATCTTGAATTGGGTTGACAGTAAAATTTTGATCAATTATAGAGCTACACTCGATCATTTCATGAAAGTTTCGTTTAAATCTGTCCAGTTCACGAGTTGTTTTGCTAACTGACAACAGGGTTGCACAATCAAGCGCTCAGATTAAGTGTTGTGGATCGGTCTCAGCTACCATCATGAAAAATCTAAGCTTAGTATCTTTAAAACTGAAAGACATATAGCCCCGTTTGTGTTTTTTAGATCATTTGGCTATGGCCAAAAAGTAATCAGTTGCATATCCTTTCTGCAAGTTTTGTTCAAATCTGTCCAGTTGTTCATGAGGTATTTTGACCACATACAGACAGGCACCAGGGTACAATCATTACGTTGTTCTGAAACTGCTTCTAGTGCCAGCCTTGTGCGTGACTCTTATGTACTGAGCGGGTGGAGTCTGAGTAAACCAACCACAGCACGCCATTATGATCCCAGCCCTCAAGCTGCAGTCTTTCCATCCTGTTGTCTGGCGTTTACTGCCGTTACTACAGTAACATATGAACTGCTGAGAGCATTAAACCAGGCTGCGTGTGTCAAACGACTCCTTTTATTTGGCTCGATGCCTTTTTGACTGTAATCTAACAAAAACAGGAAAATAGCACCCTTAGATAGCTTTCACAGAAAAATCCAAAAGCAACCTGCACAAAGAGAGGACTGCAAGAGCCATGACGTGGCTTATTTTGTGCCATTTACATCCATTTGTGTGATTACAGCCCGAGACGGTTTCCCCTCGTCTATCATTACTGCTAAATTAAGTCATCGTACATCATAATCATGAAAGTGAAAAAAAAAAAAAAAAAACATAAAAACAAAGCACCATCTTTCAGATGCATTTGAGGCTCTCCCTCTTTTCCATTCATCCAAAGATCAGCTGAGCAAACTCAGGCCAGAGGACAATTAAGAACTCGCTGATCAAATTAAATGAGAAAAGGCCTGGCTGCCAAACCATCCCCCATTCAAACACCCATTTATCTACCCAACCAGCGTCCCGCCACGGCAACAGAAACCAACACAACTCTGTAAACACATTCTTCTGAATTAGAGAGAAAACATGTAGGGAGGAAAAGCAGGGCTCTCACAAGAGAAATTAGTGTTTGTGTAGTCAGTTCAAGCTCATTTCTACAGGCAACCTTGAAAGCACATGTTCAGTCTGTTGGGACCATGGCATTCTGGCAAGAAGTAAAGAAACTACAGTAGTATTAGTAACTGTACTGATGGTAGTTGCCATGTTTGTCCTATTGAACTACATAACATGTTTAAATGATATGTATAAAAAATATTTAAAGTTTTTTTTAGGTTAGGATGCCAAATGACACTAAAGCTAATAAATATTACACGAATACATAAATATCGCTATAAAAATTGATCAATATCCTCAGATAAATAGTTATCAACTTACTTTTATGTATATGAATGTTTCTGCACAGTGCCCTGAGATGACTTCTGTTGTGACTTGCAGCTATACAAATAAACTGAATTGAATTAAAGTTTATTCTGTCCAGAACAGACTATTTGAAATGGCACAGATTTTCAAATCTCAAATCACATGTGGTGTTAAAATGTAATTTTCAGCTGGTAATTATAGTTTAAAATCATCATTTCTGTTCTTTTTTTGCAATCTACAGAACTAGCAGTTTCAGACAGTGACAAAATGTTGTTTATTCCTTTTTTTTTTTTTTTTTTAAACAAAAAGGAGAAGAATGTTAACCGCTTATTGCCTGTCCAGCAAAAAGCAGTTTAGTCTAGTTCGACTGTTGTCAGAATACTGGGAGGTGAATGAGTGCGCACGCACACGCATTCAAGTACAAAAACACCCTCTGCACTTTGCAGTTTGATCTGAACTTAGCCAAGGATCTACAATCAATGATTAAACCCCCTAAAAGATAATAGCTCATACTAATTTCCCTACTGGGCATAAAAAACTTAATATTGCATGACTTTATTATTTGGTAACATGAGACGGTAAACCCTCATCTCTTTCAAAACCGTAAATAAAGAGGCTGTTTTTATGTTTTGGTCAATTTCAAACGACTCCTAATTTACTGGCAAGATCAGTTCTAGTGATTGCCATTTGGTTTAGGGATTACTAAGTTTTGTACAATTCACTGATGCAACAAGTCTTATAGTTAACCTACTTTTGCAATCATTACCTGCTAGTTTACCATGGATCAAGCAAGAGGGAAATACTTAATTTGTACCATTACACTAGGATCCACCAATTCAGAGCAGCATTTTCAAAAATTGGAAAGAAAAATAATAATTTTAGTTTTTTCTTTACAAACCAAAAGTACTACAGTACAATGTGCATATGTTGACTTTAAAGAATAGTCAACTAAGCAGGTGGAACAGAAGATTCAGTGTTTTCACCAGTCTGCTGTTTGTTCGTCACCACTGAAACATGCCCGCTGAATGGATGGCTAGCTAACCAAAAGGTGTCTCTTCCTCTAGAAACTGGCTATTCTCCAAAACTTCCTCCTCTCATGCTGCACAGCTGACAAATAGAAGTGCCTACACAAACCATCCATCAAGCCTTTCCTCCTTCTAGACATCATTTCCTACTTTTCACAATGTATCCAAAGCATTGGCTCAAAAACCTTGAACTTCAAACTGACCACACCTTGAATATTTGAGCTGCTCCCAACTTTTTACTTGCAGTGGATAAATAATATGCACTTTAGTCATTCATGTGTTGTAAGCAGCACATGTGGAGATGCACACCTGAGGCAACCTTTAGGGAAAAATAATACAATATTATACTGAAATTGACAAGAAAATAAACTGGTACAATCATCCAGATTTAAGTTAAACAAGCCTTGCTCATAAACAATAATGCTCATCTGTAATCTGAGATTAATAAATTTAAAATACTGGGGCCTGCTGGAGATTGAAGTTACCGGTAGTTGTGATCTAAAAGCAGCTACAGGTAACCCGGAAGGTCACATGTCAGTAAATGTTCACTCACGAAACAAAGAGCATACACCTTATCTTTGTTAAAAATATATAATTTACTAACAGACTAGCTATGAATAAAAGTTGTGGCGTTGTCCAAAACTGAAGTATTGGAGCCTGAACGAACAGCAGCTGACAGTTTTTAGCTAGCTAACGTCACTGCTAACTAATGCTAACATAGCCGGCTAATGCTAGCTGTCAAAAGGGAGGGGGCAAAAGATCAGGACTGGATCAGTTCTTACCCCCTTTACATGGAGTTCTGTGTTGGCTGTGCTGGGCTCGGTACCCCTCCACCACCTCCCACTCTCCGTTATCCCTCTTGATCGGGAAAGACACGCTCAGGACGTGATTGCAGGGCTTAATGATGCGCAGGATGCCCCGCACACGGTGCCGCTTCTGTTCGGGGGTCTCCCTGGTCTTCAGGTCCTCCACCAGCTTGTCCTCCACGATGGCTGCGCCGCGGTCGAAGAAGCCCTCGACCATCTTGAAGAAGTTGGGGTCGTCCGGTTGCTCTGCTGCGTCGGCATAGCGACGGACCCGCATCAGGGAGGAGGACGCCGGGAGAGCGGAGTCCACGCAACCCGAGGCCAGGACACTGCCCGCTGAGCGGCTCAACAGCTCCCCGAAATACCGATACATGGCTAAAAAAACAAAGTAACCGTGTAAACAAACTAATTACAAATAAACAACTACGGGACGAGGACGACGGGGGTGACGGCAGGAGAGAGGGGGCAGAAAGAGACACAGCG